GTGTGTGTGTGTGTGTGTGTGTGTGTGTGTGTGTGTGTGTGTGTGTGAGAGAGAGAGAGAGTTAGTGACCGTTCCACCTGAATGTGTGTTTACTGTCTACAGTCCACTCCTAAATACAGTTAGTGCTCCACTGGTGACTCACATGCACTCCAGCCACAGTACACACGCACACACCAGCTGACCGCTTATCCACACACCACCCACACAAACATACAGCCTTTCTGTCAGGCACAGACCAACACACACACACACTAATAGTCAGCCAGATATTAACACAGTAAGTATATTGAGCCCAAAGCTACACTGACTTTTCATTCCTCTCTGCCGCTCTGAGAGAGGTCGTCCCTTAGCTGAGTTTTTAGTAATCATTGATTAAGAGAGGAACGTGTCCCTTTTTAAGTGAATGGACCGCGTGCTGTAGCTGGGATGCTTTCAGGTTTCTATCCTTGCCTCTTGTGACTTTAACAACGTTTAGTCTACAGACTGCGTGGGTGCAGCTCAGCAGCGTCTGGCTTTGTCGTGTTGCAGCGTCATGATCGGTGTGCTTCGCTCTGTGCCTCTGCGGTTAGCGGCTGAGAGTGAAACGGGATATGTGGTGGTGGCACTAACAAACCAATGTCGTGGTAAAATCAGGGCTGCAATTATTGAGTGTGTTGATTGATTGATTGTTCTGCTTTCAGTTAATCGGGTTATCGATTAGTTTGTAAATTATTTGAAAACTGAACAAAACCTGTCTGAACTTCCTAAAGGCCTTTATTAAATAACTTTTTTTGTTCCAACCAACAGTCTAAACCCCAAATATATTCAATTTACTGTGAGATAATACAGAGAAAGGTGTATATATAGTATGTGTAACATCTAGCTAGAGAATTCTTGTTGAATGACTTTAACTCATCAGGTAACCAAATCATTTCAGCACCAATAAATGAAAGTGTTTCTGTGAGATGTAAACATAATTGTCTCTTCTTTCTTTGAAAGATGCGATGGGTGGAGACATGGGAGTCTTTTCAAATTGACACACACACACACGCTCTCTCTCTCATTCTGCTTGCCCATAGGTGGAAACGCTGACTCAGGCGGTCTCGGTATTGCCTGTGTGATCGTCTCCACACTTTGCTGCAGTACAGTGTTTGTAGCGGGGAGGTGACGAGGTCTGGGATCCTCTTTGTGAACTTTATTTTTACAACGTTGTGGAAGAAAATGTGTCACGGGACCCTTAATCACCAGCCATGAGCTTTTTTTTATACACACACACACACACACGCGCAAACAAACTATTTATGTTGGCCCTTCTTTTTCAGTCAGTCAGTCACACAGAGACGTGTGGACACACACTCCATTGTAAAGAGCCTCACAGGCCTCCGACTGTCAGACAGAGGGAGCTTTAGAAAGAGAGTGCTGAGTAACACCAGTGTTTAAATAACCATAAATACATCTGGGCCTTCACAACATGTCACTGTCACTGGATTCAGAAGAACCAGTGCTTCCATCACAGGCAATGATTTGCCTCGTCTGTGTTAACAGAGGCTGGACTTTTTTTTTTTTTGTGGTCGTATCGTCCTGCGTGTCGCTCTGTGTTCTCTTCTTCAGAAGTGAAGGCCATTTGAATGAAACCAGCATGCTTCCCTCTGATCTACCAGCTCTCCTTTGATTTACAAACAGTCCCCCTTTTTCAGTGCATCCGCAGATTTGATCAGACATGAAGATTTAAAGCCGTGATCGGGGTGACGGTTCTATCTTTCTTCCCAGGCTGCTGTATTTTTAAGTTTGTGAAAAGAAACGAGCGGGGGGCGCATTCAGATCAACAATGAACCTCCTACCTGAAGAAAATCAGGACCCAAAGTTGCGACAAATGCATTGAATTACAGTTGTTTACGTAAACACAAAATATGCCTCGGCCTGCAGAGAAAACCAGGCAAAGCACATGTAAGCAGGGTCATATTTCTGCACCTTCCAACACAAATAGTCCTTTGAAGTGTTCCCGGGAGCTGTGACCCCGGAGGCTCCGGAGTGAAACATTCTGCTAATGTTGGCCGATCCCTTCAAGCCCGTCTGTTTGTTGTCACATGAAACTCTCTTTTCTCCCCGATCTCGCAAACCCTGCCTGTTCCCCCACTGATCCACCCGCTGAAACCTGACCTTGCAGCAGACCTCTGGCTGTCTGCCACCATACCCTCAATAACCCTGCTCACCTGTGAATATAATGTGTGTGTGTGTGTGTGTGTGTGTGTGTGTGTGTGTGTGTGTGTGAGAGAGAGAGAGACACAGAGAGAGTGCGTCTCCATCCCAGCAGGATGAGACTCTATTCAAGCTGTCTGGTGTGAAGACGTGTTTGTAGACGTGCATGCACATACACACACGCTTGTTCATCCATCCCCTGAGCTCCCAGTGCTGTCAACACATCAGACAGACACGCTGGGTGTCGTGTTACTTTTCATGTGTGTAACTGTGCACCTTTGTGACGTTAGCCATTGTCTGCCGCCTCCCTTTTTAACCGTTCGTTTGACTGGTTTCTTGTCTAGTTGCCGCCAGGAAGTGTGTGTGTGTGTGTGTGTGTGTGTGTGTGTGTAACACCATCTCGATGTATGTGGAGGCAATTTCATACATAAACGTTCCTGCATGTTAATGTTAATATAAGTGGTTGTGTGAACCTGATCATGTCCTGCGTCGCCCCTGATCGCAAGCAGTAAGTGCAAAGTCCCTTTTTAGGAGATGTTTGAGCAGCTCACAGAAACACACACACGAGAGATCGCTTCCGTTTTGCGTGGCCGATAATGGTGAGTGTCCCGAGATCGTGGCTCCAAATGCACAGCAGATTTACTGCACCGTCCTCGGGGCGCACGGCATAAATGCGGCCGATCTGCCGGTAGCTCGAGCACTTAACTTAGAGGGGGGAGAGACCATTAGTGGCAATCAGGGCTGTCACTTTTAATGGGCGGAATCGAGACGAAATGGAGATGATGGACCTGCGGCCGAGTGGAAGAGTTAATGCTCTGTAGGCCCACTTGAGGACTGGGTAATGAGAAAAAGGGCAGGTGGAAGTGGCGTGACGGTACAGCTGTGGTTGAGGCACACGCCCAAATGGAAACCAGGCTGTGGGCACTTTTTACACCAGCAGCTGGGAAAAGCCACTTACTGCAGCTCCATGGAGCTCTGTGCATTTAACATGCATCTGTTTGTGTGTCCACGTGTGTTCCTTGTCCGTGAGTGGCATGTCTATTGGTCTATAAGTCATGGGTACTGCATGTGCTGGATGTTGAGTCCTGTGCACGTCTCAGTTGCAGACAGAAATAGACTTTTCTCAGCCAGTGCTTTTGAACATGAGGAACGGTCCCAGGCTGTGTGCATGTGTGTGTGTTGGGTGTGCAGATGAGAGGAGGGGAGGCTGACCTTTTGTTCTGTTTGCTTAGTGGGCATTCCTCTGAGCACTGGCCCTCACCCAAGTTAAAGCCAGCGGCCTCCTGCTGGACTCGGCGCAGTGCTGCCTCCAAAGGGACTCGGTGACACTGAATCATTTGAGCCGGTCAACTAGTTAGTTATTTAGAAGACGTGTTTGCATAGCTGTCATTTTACTTCTTGAAAAGCCTTTCTTCAAACTTTTTACTGTGAATTGATATGATCAGTTTTTAAAATCTCAGCTCTGTGACTTCAACTTGCAGTTGTCTTGTTGATTGTTTAAACCAGTCTCAGATCAGCCTAAACAACCTTTGAGGAATGGCCTAATGGCTGACTGGAACACCAGATGAGCAGCAAGGTTTCCGGGGAAAGTGTCATCAGCCGGAACAACACGGGAGTGTAGCCCGCTGACGGTGGGCAGAGCTCATTGTTTGTTGAGAGGATGAGTGACTTGTGAGAACCAATGCTTTGTATTAGCTCTGAAGCTGCTGTTTTGTCAGCCCTCTAACCCCGGCTGTCATTTTCTCCACTGTAATTACCTTTTTAAAGGCTGATTTGTGCTTATCTCAAAAACACAGCCTTCAAGCATCCGAATGACCGATTGAGAACAAATATATCTGTCCTCTGTCCCTCCAGGTCCTTATGGTTGAGGTGGCGTGTGGTGCCCTTTGCCATGCCTCCTGCCATGACAGACCTCCTGGACATATGGGCAGCCCACTCTCACCTGGCCGGCCACGCTCTGGACCAGATCACTGTGGACTTCCTGCTGCCCACCGGTATCTACATCCAGATGGACGTTCCACGCGAGGCCACCATTCAGCGCATCAAACTGGTGAGTGGCACCGGGGATACTTACAGCCACATGTTGCTGCTGAAGGCGAGGTGGTTACGACACTACGGATGATTAATAAAATCAACTTTCAACACACTTAAAGGAGATACAATCCATGTATTTACTTGTTGTGTGTCCATGTTATTGTCCTCACATGGCCTGTTGTCTAATTGAAAACACAGTCTACATCCCACACACACACACACACAGACATGCATATTTAAAGGGACACACGTCACCCAGCTGGTCAGTTATTATCTGATGCCTTTACTATGACGGAGGTGGCTGTTGTGGCCGGCTGGCTTGTGTTTTTTTGTTTGCGAGTAGCTGTTGCTCTTCAGAACGCAAATACCTCATGACATGTGTGACTGCAGCAGATTCTGTGAAGCAGATGTCAGAAGTCACAGACTTGATGGGTCTTTTAGAAGTTGTCAAGGGAATGGCTTACGTTGTCTAAAGAAGTGCCACAAAGTTTGTGTAGGTAATTAAGATGATAGTCTTAATGTTTGGGGGTTATTGTCGCCCCTGTGATGGGATTCAGCTATTGATTTAAACTACACGGAGGTGGCCCAGAAAAATGGAAACATCTGTGCGATGCGAGGCGGTGAAATAGGATACAGCCCTGCAAGAAATACAACCTAACTTGAGGCTTGACTATGTGCTGGTGTTTTGTTAAACTGTATTGAAAGCTGTTGCATTGAAATATCCACGTCAGAGAAACACATTACAGTATAATGTGTTTCGTTACAACAGCTTCATGAATGGCTTTTGAGTTTAAAAAAAGATGCGTTTTGCAGAGTTGGTATTTTATTCCCGTCTGTATTTAGGGCCGTTGTAATGATTGCATTTCTATTTGTGCAGTTTACTCGGTGTGCAACCTTCTCACAGCTGCATTCGTTTATATTTAGATCCACGTAGACAACTTCCCCTGCATTGATACACAACCTCAAACATGTTTTCCCCAGACATGCAGGCTCTGTAAAATAAAAGCCTGAGGAGGTTGTTCTGAATAGCAAACAAACAAGTCGGGGTGTGTGACCAAAGACACAGAATGATTTTGCTTTAGACGTTCCTTCTTAGCAATAATGTTTTTCCTGGAACTATACAATGAGGCAGGTCTCTTCCCATGTTCAGGTCTTTACATTCATCAGGACTAAATGTTGAGAGTGTATTCGTGAATGAAAAGACATCTGTTGACAAAGCACACGTGAAAGGTCTTCGTTCCCCGAGGGAAGCGTGTAGAGACGCAGCGGAAAGCTATGACAAATGATATGTCACTTAAGCCAGAAGTAGAGAGGAGACTTATAAATGGAAGGGGGGGGGACTGATAAGAGGAAGCCAGGAGCAGCTTCATACCAGACTCTATCAGCTATCAAGAGGAGCAGGCTGCTGAATGACTGCATTTCATTCATACTAATAAAGATGTGAAGTCTTGTTAAGTTGCAGGAAACGATTGTAAGTTTCATCACTACAGATGTAGCGCGGCGATACTTTTTCTAAAGCAGGTTTGTTCTGTGGTTCGTCTCAACATGCCGTGAAATAACAAGTGTTCCCCGGACAGGAAGATATTTGTTTGGAGGGCAAGAGTGTTCTGTTGTTCCGGTCTGTTGCAGGCATCACTGTGTAACCTCAGACAAACGCATTGAACCTGACAAACCCTGTGATCACGCTGTGGCTGAACAGTGGACATGAATCACGGCGGTAAACATTATTCACATCCTGATCGGCTCACCCAGAAGCTGTGTCATGTTTGCCGTGAGTCATGATTGTTACGTCATTGTTCCATGTTGTTGTGATTAGTTTTGTCCCTAATGGGAATCAGGCATTTCACTTCTCAGGTCATGATTCACCAGAAGCATTGAGATAGTCCACAAACCATTATATATTATTTATATATATATATACTGTGTGTGTATATATATATATATATATAATAAGGATGCTGTTTATTCCGTTTGCACACATTCTAACTAGGTGTAGATTTAGATTAATGGAGACGATAAAACAGCTCAGTCCTCTGAGGTGATTAAACATTTGATGAAACTCTGAATATTTATTGATGCGTGAGGTTAAAAGACTTTCTTACTTGATGGGAAAGATCTGCATCGTATATTCCAGCAATGCAGTAGCTTATATCAATGCAACGATTAATTGATAGTTAAGATTACTCTCTGCAGGTGTATATATATATATATATAATAAGAATGCTGTTTATTCTAGTTGCACATATTCTAATTAGGTTTATATTAAAGGAGACAATGAAAACACTCCCTGTGGTTTTGTAGTGCAGAAGCACCCTGATTCTTCTCCTCCCCTCCAGCTCTTATGGAAGCAGGCTCAGTCGTTCCCACTGTTTCCCTCCCTGGGCGACATGGAGAGCCACATGTTCGAGTGCGTCAACCAGGCCGCTGTGCACGAAGAGCTGGAGGACGAAACGCGCCGGCTGTGCGACGTTCGCCCTTTCCTGCCGGTCCTCAAGCTGGTGACGCGCAACTGCGGCCGAGCAGAGCGCCTGCTGGACTCCAAAATCGGCGTGCTCATCAGCAAGGGTAAGACGGGATCCCTGTTTAAAGGCCTTTTCCTCTAATTTAAAGTAGCAGGCCATCATACAAGCTCTCACACACATCACTCCCTCCCTGATTGATCCGTGTGCTGTCCCTGTTTGACATTCCCAATAAAGAAAAGGAACTTAAGAGTTGGTAAGCGGGACGGTAAATTTCTCCGCACACACACACACGACGCGCCTCAAGCACCTCTTCCAGTATGGTAAGTATCTGTGCTACTCGGCACATTCACCGCAGACGTCAGACGCGAGGCCGTCTGCAGCTGGCTCCCATCAGCGGTCCCGGTCTGATAGGGAAGCGCGAGGATCGACTGGACATCTCTCCCCGACATGTCTTCCATCACCTGTCACTTTGCGTTGTCTCTGGTGAGGAGCAGAGGGGATCGATGAGTACTGTAGCACAGCCCAGTCCTCTGAAGTGATTAAACATTTGTTGGAACTCTCAATATTCATTCATGCGTAAGGTTAAAAAAAAGACTTATTCGACACAAAAGATCTAGAGTTAGACTCGTATATCTATGTCGTATATGCCAGCAGTGCAGTAGCTGTTATCGCTGTAACGATTAGTTTACAGTTCAAGGAAAACTCTGAAAAAATGATAAGCTGCTGCATCAATCATCAAAAATAGTTGCAGGCAAACATTGGCTGGTTCCATCGTCTCAAATGTGAAGATTTGTTGCCTTTCTTTGTCTTTGGACTGATTTAAATCTATCTCCTCGGGCTGTGTGAGTTCATAACGAGCATTTTTCACTATTTGCTGACATTTTAAAGACAAAAAGATTCATTGATTAATGACGATAATATCTTGTTGCAGCCCCAGTTGCATGCACCCATTTTTTTCATTTGATGTAGTCACACTGTGACACAAGGTCACACACACAAACGGACGCATTCAGCCCTCTTCCGACCGAGGTATCCAGGATTACGGAAGTCCTTCGGTCACAGCAAGACTTCTTCAGAGGGAGAGATCAGGGCTCTGAGTCTTAATTGAAGGAGACTCGGACGATATTGATATCCTCCCCTCCTGGCTCCACTTTGCTCTGACGTGATCTTTAAAAAGGCTTTTGTCAGAGTAATGTGGTGATTTCCAAAGGAACCCCATAGGCCCGTCTGGATAGTCCCCCACACAAATCTAACCTTGTGCAGAGCACAGTAACAAACTATTACACACTCACACCATGATTCAGTTTTTTTCCTCTCCAGGAATACAGTCGCACGTAGCGGCTTGCACACTCACACAATGCAGCTAATGTGGTCCAGAGCCCTTCTTTTGAGTGCTGAGGGTCATATGAGTGCTAAATGTTGTTTTCATGACCAAGAGACTATTGTGAGGCACCCTCAGACAAAAGCTCTCTAGGGAGCAGAGAGATGAAGTACCATCAGACTAACAGCTGTTCATACCTCTGGCGTTTGAATATTCGGAGGCTGTGCTTTAATCCCATGAGAGTCTGCTGCTCGTAATCCCTTTTACACATTCATTGCTACTTTGTGCGTGTGTCTGGCATCAAGTGCTGCACAGGTGTTTGAATTCACAGGCTTTAGTTGCCTTTAAAAATGCATAATCATGCACACTAGAATATGCAGCGTCACACTTGACAGCACTTTGAACTTCTCGAGCTTCATTTTCACATGTAAAAAACAGATTAATCAGGATCCGTGCCTGTTTGTTAAGATTGTTGATTATTACATTTAGTTCTCACACCATGAAGACTTCTCCTCTAGATATTGTTACAGTTGAAATCATGACGTATCTTTGTTCATACCAGTGCTGCAACGATGTCCTTTCCCTTCCACCACTAGGTCTCCATGAACTCGATGCCATCAATGACCAGGAGGTGAAGGATTTCCGTGGCAAGATGTTTCGCCTCAGTGAAGAGAGGATGCAACAGGTCCAGATGATGACGTGCAAGGAGTGGCTGCAGGTCTGCTTCTCCCCAGAGCTGGAGCCCTCGGCCATCACCGACGGGCTCAACGACCGGCCGACCGACCTGAAAGTCATTATCCACTTCGACCAGTCTCAGGTGAGAGTCTGTAGTCCAGAGCTGGAAATGTGGAAAAGTTTCAGTGGTGTGTTTGGGGATTTATTTAGTATAGATTGATAATAATCTTTAAAAAGAAATAGACTCTTTGGTGACTGTTGGATCTAGGTCATCTAACAATAAAAACAACTCGGCAGAACATTTTGCTCCACAAACGAGGTCGGCAACATTACGGTACTTTGTGTTGTGTCCACAAATGTTTGCAACATAAATAATTTAGCCTTCACAGGCAACACAGTTTAAATCAATGAAGTCACTAAGATTACCAGTGAAGACTATTCAAAACGCAATAAAGTCATGGATAGCTAGTACATTGAGGAATTGTTGGTCTCTAACTGTATCATTAATCTGCATCATTTGCAGAAAAATCTGAAAATCCAATATTGTTCGACAAAAAATGTGATTTGTTAGTTTTGCACCAGAATGGGTACAATGTAGTCATCTAACAAAATGCACGTCTACTTCCTGTTACAGACATCCTGGACAATTCTTCTATATAGAAATTTGCCAGAGGGAAGAACCTTATAGGACGAGACACAAGGAGTATTTCTCCCTTTACAATCCTTGATTTCATTAGATCGTGACGATGATGGGAAGATGCATTTTGAATTAGAGACATTAAACTTTAATGGTAGCGAATATACCGCTCCACCTCTTATGGAAAGGGCCAGTTGATCTGGTTTTGAGCATCTGATCAGGGGGCCTCCTGGGAGAACCTCCCGTTAGAAGGTTTTCCCGGCACGTCCAACTGGTGAGAGACTCCCGCTGTAGAGCCAGAACACGCAGGAGAGATTATTTATCTCGTCTGGCCTGGGAACGCCTCGCGGTTCCCCAGGAAGGAGCTGAGAAAACGCTGCTGGGGAGACGGCCCCTGTGGCCTGGCCCCTGATAGGAGGGAGATGGATGTATGGTAGAGAATATAGATTAATATGAAATATAAACCACTGTATAATAACAACTAAATGCTCTTTACTTAGACCTTGTCTTAGGACTCATGGTTATTTGAGGTTACATCTATTTGCCTTTCAGTAAATTGTACAAACACAATAAATGAATTAAACATAATTAGGTCCTTATTGTTAAATGACTTTACGTTTAGTATTACGGGAAATAGCACTTGGATGGACTACATTATGCTGGGAGGGATACTTGTACTTCTTGGTAGAAAGCCAATTTCTTGTTGTTTTGTAATCTTTAAGTCGATTTGCTTTTCTCACTACATGAGTGACTTGCGACAGGTCTCCACATGAGGTCCCCAAACTGGTTTTTCTCAAGAAAACACACACAAAACGCTGTTTCAACACGTCTTTAATATTTCCCTCATGTAACGTCAGATCAGTCACCGTGTCATGTTTATTCATGACAACAGCAACTTTTGGTCCGTGTTGTAAACGCAACACGTACAGTGACTCGTTACAGCCGAGCCTTCAGCCACCAGGTCTCCCCCCTCAAACTGTATCTTGAGCTCTCATTGGCTGAAGCTCCCCGACAGACTCCGCGTTGGGTATCTGGAATGCGTCTGCGACGCATCGGCGAGCTACTTGGCTCACGTCTTCGAACAGTTCCCACGTAGCTTTGGAGCCTCTGATCCGGGGCTTTTGTCAGGGAGCTCCTAAAAGCTGTCTGAAGGTGTATAATTTGATCTTCGCACTAGTCATCCTTTTTACTAATTGAACGAGAAAAAGTCAAATCTATTCATAAACCCTTTAGCCGAAACCCTACAACACACATACCAGAATAACGGTGTGACTTACTGCAGCAGACAAAACCACCTTGTTTGAGCAGAGAAAGTAGCCATGTGACTCCACCAGCGTGGGCGCTGAGCCTCTTTTTTCTATTTATTTTATTTTCTGCTCACAGTTGGCAGCTCCACAGTAGTCATGTGACCGAGCCCAACTAGCAAGTCATGTGACACACTTAAAGTGGGTCAAAACCATCAGCGAAATTATGCCATCCTCCCAGACACACACACACACACATTAGTAGCATGGCAGCTCAAGGGACCCGAGCACTGATTAAAGTGAACTTCTTTTTGCTCCTTCTCTGAACTCCCTGACTGTCTTCTTCCATCTGTCTTTGTCTCTCCTTCTCCTCTGTTATATCAATAATGTTATTTCATCATAAAACAGATGGTCATGTCCCTCCAGACCTGTGTGTGTGTGTATATCAGCTTTGATCAACATCACACACACACACACACACACACACACACACACAAAGACAGGCCATCTGTGCCACGGTGCTCAGGTGGACATTGGCAGGAAGTCTTATTTAGGAGTTCAGACACAATGAGCCACATTATAAACAGGAAGTGTGGTGGTGTGGCTTGTTGTTCTAAGGTGATAATGACCAAAGTTCAGTGTTATTAGGATTATGCATTATAATTCAGCGGTTAACCCCGGTCTTGTTCTCTCTCTGCATCCTAATCTTATCCTCAGCATCTAAATAATATTCAGAAAGTAAAATACTAAAGTGCTTTCATGATATCCCAGAGCTGTTGCTTTCGTAGCTCCGCCGTAATGCGAAGTAGCCGTGAACTTTCTTTGTTGTTAATTATTAATGAATGACATTTTTATTCAACCTCCAGGAAATAATAACTCCCTCTCAGGTATCGGGTCAGTGCTGAGCTACAAATAGGAGGAAGCATATTAGACTTGCTGTGGCCAATCTGTGGAGGACTCTCACACACACACACACGCACATCTGCACACATTTTTAGAGCACAGTGTGTTCATTCAGCCACAAAACACATGCATGTCCATCAACTCAGAGACTGTGTGTGTGTGTTGCTCTTGTCCATCAATCTCTTATTCTCTCTCTCTCTCTCTCTCCTTTTCTCCGCTTATCTGATCTCAATCTCTGAACCCATCGGCGGTTAAGCCTCTGGGGGTGAGGAGCTATATTTCTGGGGTTTCAGTGTAGCCGCCGTGCATCTGGGCCAAGACTTCCTTCTCCTTGAGCCGCTCGCTGTTTACAGTTCGATTAGCAACTCGAGATGCAGAATTGTGACTTCTGCAACAGGATTGTTTCACAAGTAGCCAGTTCACGAGCTACTGTTAAACCTAAAAAGCGAAATCATCGTTCAGACGAGAGCCGATGTGTTTTGCGAGAGTGCATCTCGGCCACTGCTCTCCACACGGACCGTTTACCTGCTTTCAACCAAAGCCTGCTTAATCGTGATTGGTCGATACGACTTGGACTACAAACGTAAAACCAGAACGATTCCGAAACCAAAATCTTGTCTTGTTTCCTACAGCAATGAATCTAGAATTCTATTTAATAACAGCTGTGTGTTTCGGTACCGAAAAAGTGGTGAAGAACATGTTTCACTGTCTTATAAACCTTCAGCTTTGTTATTTTATGTCATCCAACGGCCTCCTCTTGAAATATTTTAGTCTAGATTAAGAAAATATAAATAGGTTTAAGGAACAGATGTTGTTAAACAAGGGTTACAGTTTGCGCTTCAAGTGCTAGTGAACTCTTGAATCAATCTCTCCGTTTCCCCGACTTGTCTTGCAGGACTCGGCCAGTCTGAAGGTGCCGTCGTCCTGCGTCCCCTCGGAGCTGAAGGAGCTGGCCCTGAAGAAGTGGCTCACCACCCACGGGCCCGAGGAGGATGAGGAGGAGTGGCGGGGTCAGTACGTGCTGAGGGTCAGCCACTGTCTGGAGTTCCTCTGTGGAGACCAGCCCCTGATTCAGTACAAGGTCAGTGGCTACACGGTGGACCTGGTCAGGTGTCTGTCAGTGAGTAACTTAGAAATAGGAACAGGAAATAGCAGAGCTAGTCCTCCATGAAAAAGCTTTTTTTTATTGTTTTATTCTAAGTATCTACAGCATGGTGAGCACAACTGTTCTAGGTCTGAGAAAGTCATCTAGTTTAATATCAGTGTGACGATTAAAAGCCTGTTAATAGTTGGGTCTTACTGGGAAAAGTTTAGGTTTTAACTCAAACGAATGCGCAAATATAATATTTCTGTAGCAGATGATGGACTGTGTTTCTACAATATGAATGTTTATGCGTTTATAACCATTATTATGGTGTGCATCAGGCACAATGAAATGATAAAAGCACGCAACTTAGGAACGCGTGAACAGGTGTCCCATCGTTCTGTTTGCGCTCCACATATTAAAGCTCCGTGTTTGATAAAGGTATCAGCTATGTGGGGAGTTTTCAGTTGCCATGGAAAGAGCCGTTATAAACTATTTACATAAGGGCATCGCACAAAGACGGCACCGAGTGAGCACGATTGCAATTTTCCGCTGGAAGCACAGTACGGGTCAGAGCAGGTAAAGCATACATTAGTGTGCTGGTGTAAACAGAGAGATGTGTATAAATGGAAGTATATGGACAGTTTAACATTAGAACCCAACAAAACGAAAGCCGAAGGCAGGCTTTTATTGCAGCCTCGGTATGTAAACGTGTGTGCAGCTGAAGTTCAGAAAGCTTAGTTTGGTTGGTTGCGTGTCTTTTTCTGGCATTGATTTAAATCTAAACTATTCCAAAGTATTTGGGAAAGGGTCTGTGTGCATGTTCATTTGATCAAGTCTGCTGACAAGCTGTTATGGCTTTGTTAATTATTCTGTTCTATATGTTCCTTAGCTGATCCTTTCTGCAATGCTTTTGCCTCACATTGCAGTATCCCGATTTACCAAAATGAAAGTCCAACTTTTAACATGCAGCACAACCATAAAAAAGGGGATCTAGCTTGTTTTTCCGTGTGTGTGTGTGTGTGAGGTTAAATATGCGCATCGCTAAAACGATTCCCTGCCCTGTCTTGTGTGCAGTACATCCGCTCGTGCATGCAGGCCAAGGAGTCTCCGCACCTCACGCTGGTCCACACCAGCACCGTCAAGGGCATGTTTGACAAGGAAATCTCTGCCATCGGAGCTGTGGTGTCCCGCAAGTCCTCCAACCCACCTTTACCACTACCTCCCAAGAGAAGGGTTCCCACGGTGTGTGTGTGTGTGTGTGTGTGTGTGTGTGTGTGTGTGTGTGTGTGTTTTCACTTCTGTGTTGTGGTGATCTTGTCTATCTATTTTATTTCAGATAAATTGTGGAGTCTTTAGTGGCTGAAGTGAAGTCAAACTAAAGTTGTCATTTCCGCTTGTTGGAATTGTTTTCATGTACTATTATTAATGTGGTTGTTTTCACTGTCGGTCCCAGGATGTAACATGAGGCATCGTTAGGATTAAAACTGAGGGTGTGTGATGCACATATGAAAATGTTTTCTAGATAACAATCGCTTCATATCCCGCCAGTGTTCTTGTTCCACCAAAATAGTAAATGCTCCACCGATGATTGAGTCACCTGCACTGAGCGAGGCAGGTGTGGAGGTTTACCTAGTAAACAAGTACTTGGCAGCTGCCACCTGTCTTTTATGAGCCAGTGTTCTCGGAGCGATGCCCTGCCAGCATTGGTCACATTGTCAAAAAACATCTCCAGCTCCTCACTGCAGCTGCTGCCGCTGCCAGGTGCACAGTGACATCGCTCCTCCATGTGTGTGCGTCCACATTCTAAATGTCAGGTTGGATTTAATTGGCCTTCGTTAAGTCTCCCGGGGGTTTTTAATTGCCCGGTGTCATGCTGACAGTCGATGCGTGGCGATTGTGTGGTTTGGAAAGTCTGTAAATATCACAGGTGTGAATCCTCATATCACATATAATATTAATAATAACGGGTCAACAGTTTGCAAGCTTCAGATCTGTGCAGAGCAACAAAATGGCAGCATAGAAATCTCTCTTTACCGCCGTTTTAAAAGAAGCCCCGAAACTAATTTATAAGCTTTATCTGTTACGCCTGTTCGCCATCCGAGCTCTACCAAGGTTTGCTTTAGGAGGGCCACTGTTGGAGCCACTATTATACTTTAGTTCTTTTGGTTTATTTACTTACGTCTGATGGTCTTTTTCGAGTTAGCAGGGAGCCTTTTATGTAGGTTATAGAGATTACAGATTTATGGAGGGACTTTTTCCTCACAATTCTTTACAAGACTTTACATACTCCTCTCATCCCGCCATGCAGTTCACTCCAGAAGTGATTTATTTCTTGGCTTTTTGGGAGAGATGGCCACAGGATAACTGTGAAATAGGAACGAGAGACATTTCCAATGACACTCCACTGTAACTCTGTCTAGGTAACCAACATGATTCAATTCTTTGGAGACGCAACTTCAGTATATTTAACAATCCACAAATGAAAGAACCTGTTGAGACAGAGGTTAAGCTGTATGTGGAACAAAATGATGAGAGTTAGGGGAATCCCTCTTTGCTTTGAGGTATTTTTGCAATTTCTTCTTTTCTTTGTGCTCTTAAATTTGCAAAACTATTCATTATTGTTATTAATAATTAGGGCTAAAATGTATAATTATTTTTAGTTTAAAATGTCTCAAGACCACGCCTTAAAGTGTCTTAAACCAGTAAGCGATGTAATTGCTGCCAATTAGTTTTCTTTTTTACTGACTAATCATTTTAGCTCTGAACTTGGTCTACGTTCTCTTTCCGTGACTCTTTACGATCAATCTTGTCTCCGTCAACGCAGAAATATTTCGTCAATAAAGGCGAAAACTCTCCATCGCCTCACGTCTGAATACAAACTATTACCTTCAGGCAGATGTTACAGAGCCAGTAAAAGCAACCGCTTCAAGCTTTCTTTCCTCCCAACGAGGAAACGGGTTCATCCTTGTTTGTAGTTCACAGGAAGGAGGAACTGTTGTACTCTTGTTTTATGTATTCAGTCGCTATGACTTATACGATTCTCTCCTGTTTTATAATGTAGTATGTTGTTATTTTTTCTATCCGGTCTTTGGTGTATAACTGATGTCTGTTTGCTGTTATTGTTTTAAATGTATTGCAGCTGTATGCAGCACTATTGCCCAAGCATAATAAAGTTTATCTTATTTTATTGAAGCCTTCATCACCTCCTGGCTGCTGTAGCACCTCGCCCTCACCGGTGAATATCTCTGTTTACAGCTAGATACAAATTCACCTGCCGACGTGTTTACTGGAATTTAGAAACAAGATCCGTTTTCACCAATTCAAGAAGCCTGCAGGGAATTTCTTCAAATTTGGCAGAAACGTCCAATGATGAACTCAATGAAGAACTGATTAGTGAAGCTTTGGTGGTCAATGGGAACTCACAAAACATTTTTCTCACAAGATCTTAGGAATTCACATGCTCGTTATGACGATTTCACACAAACAAATAAAATGATGAAGTGATGACATCTTGAACGGACACGGATGTAAACTGCAGCATGACTGGTTGTTTTCTCTGATTTGTTTGTTTGCGGTTTTGGCTTTCCTAATTTAATCTGATTGAGTATTCGTAATGCTTTACTTATCACGTTGTCACGTTGTTTAGCACTTTAACTGTATAACCGCGACACAGTTATGGAGGCAGACTGGAGGAGACGGAAGCAGAAGCCGTTTCTGTTTAAGCTCACCGTAGCAGTGCGTCTGTGCCAGCAAGTGAGACTTACTTTCAGGAAAGGAACCTGTTATTGGATGCTGTAGGAAACTTAACTGACAATTTGTCCCAAAAAAAGTACTGCCGAGAGCAGGACAGTTTGTTTTGTGAGGATACAGTGCACGGAGTTCTTGTTTCTGCCTGTAATTGTAGGGGCAGACACAAATAGTCTCTTATCTGACATGAGGCAAATTACAAGCACGCATCACGTCCACACACACACACACACACACACACACAGGCAGCAAACAGCAGGAAG